AAAAAATTGAAAATCGTTTTTGTTTTTTTACATATATTTCTACTTGGAGAAATTTAAGAGGTTTATCCCTCAAAACTTTAAATACAAAAAAGTTGCAAAAAATAGTTTACAACAACAGGAAATTTATTTTGAAATTATGAAATGTTCATAAAGATGATTTTTCTATGGTTGATGTCATCTCTTCTGCTTAGGTTTCTACAAAACTCACAGCATGTGACTGATGTAAAGTAACTGAAATCAGCTGAACCCCAAAAATATAGTAAAATGCAACATAAACATGAATGCAGCAGGAATGTTAATCGATACCACAGTCCCATATCTGTAACACTCTGACTTGGGAAAGTAATTTTTTACTGTTCCCTTTAGCAGTTACCACACCAACCCTCTACATGTCCACCACTGTTTATTCTTAGTTAACCCCCTTTGCCATGTGTGGGTAGCAGCTCTGCTTGCCTTTCTGTAACAGTTCTTGCATGCCACTGCTGCAAAGTGCCAGGTGTCGCTGAAAAGCAAATGTTACTACCTTTTCATGATTACTGAGAGCACAAATGGGAACCTCAGTGTCCTATTTCACAGTTTTGCATGATGCGGATCTGCACCAAAACACGACTGCGTCTTCCTTTACCCATGGTCCACTGAGTCACTGAGTTCTTTGAAATTCATTGTTTTTTTTCCTCCTTGTTTTTAGAAATGTAACCTTGCTTACAAAATGACAGAACCGACAAACACATTGATCACCTGCCTCTACAATGGCTCTTGCCTCAGAGGAAAAATTGAGTTTTTAATCATTGTCATTTTTCATCTAGTACACACAAGATAATAACTTCTGTGCCCAAGATAAAAGAAAATATTTTTGAGACAGTCACAACTCAGTATAACTGCTTATCTCAAGTCCCCAAAGTAGGAAGTAGGAGAAACTAACAACAGTAATAAAGAAAATTTAAAAACAAACACAAAACACATCTCACTGTTTTTAGGGTAATAACTGTGCAACGACCAAATAACCAACAACTCCCTAAAAATTTTAAACTGAAAGAGTTTCAAATATTTCAGCCCTGCTGTCAAAGAGCCTCAAAAACTCAGTCTTACACTGAATCTCTTGTCATTTTTAACAAACATAGGAAATACTGTCTTTCCCCTCAATCCCCAACCTGAATGATCTACCTGTTAAAGGGCACTCCTGCCAATCCATCACCAAGTGTTTGCTCGCAGGGACTGCCTGATTCTTTGAGTTCTCTCTCTAACATTGTAGAGTCTAAACCTTACCGCAGAATGTGCTTCGAGGTAATTGTTATTGTGAATGGAAGCCAGTAACACTGAAACCGAAACTGGAGTTGATCTGAGGTTTTAGGAATTTAAAAAAAAATCATTTTTCTAGTCATCTTCTCATGAGTGATCAAAGTAGTCTTGTGGGTATACCTCTAATCCAAGTATGGCTGACAGGACTTTGAAATTAGACGGCAAAACAGCCACTTTTTTTTTTCTTCTTTTCTTTCTTGTGGATCAGAAGATAAAAAAGCTCAAACATTCTGAATGAGACAGCTAGCTAACTAGAAAAAGCCTTAGGGTATTTTTGATCACCGACATCAAGTTTAACAACACCTACCTAAATATCCATTTTGCTGGAGAAAAGAATCCACCCAGGCATTTTGTGTTTTGGTGTAGATATCAGGGATATACACAGCCTTGTCCTGCCGCCCCCCAACCACGCTTCCTTTCAGGCGCCCGATATTCACCAACTCCTCCAAGACAGCTGAACCACAAAAAATACAATATCATAATACGCCCTCTAAAGTATTAAACAATGACAATAGAGGACTGTTTGTCTAATGTTTAACATTAGACAAAGTTGAAAACGATTAAAAACAAACATAAATATCATACAAGTTAAAAAAAAAAGAAGAAAAAAAAAAAGAGAAGACTAGTACACACATGAAACCAAAGAGCTTAACAGGTTAACTTAAATGATGTAGCAGTTGGTCCTTACAGTACAGAAGGTGTTCCTGAAATCCAAATGCTCCAATCATACTGCTGACAGGTGTTGGCCTATAGAAAAAGCAAAACAGCAGGAATTATAAGAAAGTGCCAACGAATGCAGCTGTTGAAGACAGCGGGGTCTCATGTGAGAACATTTATTTTTTCACAGCTGTTAGACGTGAAGATCAGTTATTATTAATCTTTGACTTTCTCTTATGTATGTCTTTTATCGCATCTCCCTACACCTTACCTCCAACCGGTCACAGCAGATAGCTGCCCCTCCCTGAGCCTGATTCTGGTGGAGGTTTCTTCCTGTTAAATGGGAGTTTTTCATTCCCACTGTCGTCAGGTGCTTAGCAGGTGGTCTAATTGATGGCGTTTTCTCTCTATTAACATAGGGTCTTTACTTTACAATATAAAGCACCAGTACTGAGGTGACAGTACTTGTAATTTACACTGAATATAGTTATATGGTAGCACTTATATCCTTAAACAGCCATATAGGCTAGCTTTATGGCTCTCTCTGTGGCAAACACTAGCTTCCAAAAATGTTAAAAACCTGTAGCAGAGAACAAAACACTGAACAGTGAAAGTGTTTTTACTAAATCACACATGGCTTTCACAGTTCCATGAAAGTCATGGAGATTGTTAAAGCCAATGTGGTATTACAGAGTCAGGGTGTTCACTTTGTGTTCCTTGCTCTTTTAAAGTACATGTTCATCCTTCTCACACAATCTGCTGTTATCTGTCCTCGTTTCTCTCCATAGCAACACAAGTAGCCTACACCTCATCACCTCTGTTTCCTTCACCTACATGTCTATGGGGACATTCTCTATCACTTCATCCAACCCAATCAAGAATTCCTCTCCCTTTTCTATCTGATGCCCAACCTGTGGGGATGCACTGACAACATTCAGCACCATGCCTTTAGTCTTTATTAGCTTTAGATTAGCGAATGTAGTAAAATTAGGAAAACTTCACGCGTTTTAATTTCTCAGCTATATTGCACCGGTGCAGCCTTATGGGTTTCATATCTGCCTGATTATATATCATCATTAGAAACACAACTGTTGTAGATGCTGCTTGTGACCAATAGGTTACCGGTACACAGTAATTTAAATGAGAAAAATAATCATAGTGTGCATAAAATATTTGCACTATTGCACAGTGAGGAGTCTCTAACAAGGTTAAATGTATGTATATTTGATTTTATGAACTTCTCAAATGTTCATGGGATATTTTGCCTCGGTACCCTGTTCTCTGGATTGCCCATTAATCTTTAAATTTAACCGAAGGGCTTCGTTTAAGAACCAAGCAGTGAAAGAGAAACAGATACCATTTTCTTAATACTATTCATGTAAAGTCTTACTTTAACAACAAACTGAACATTACTATGAATTCACTCACTATCACCAACACTGGAATGATCTTTAAAGCAGCTACCCACTCACTGCATTTTTTGGTGTCAAAGCTTCACTAAGTATACACAGGGGAACCATAATGTAAAAAAACTCAATATGACAGAACATGCAAAACATTTTAGCTACCATCTGTCAACCTGCTGGGATGCTGCAATACAAACACAGCTCAAAATAATGTCCTGCAGACAGAAATCCTTCATAGCATCTTGAGCTATCCCACACAAACAGCTTAACCTTGCTTAGCATCAAAGAACTGTTTCTATAGTTTCTTTAATAACCTTGTTTCATTTAGTTAAATTTTTTAACTGACTTGCTTTTCGGTACACACAAGAAATGCTGAGACAGGTATGGACATATCAAAATCTGTACATCTGCAGAAGAAAAACAAAAAACAAGCCATAATAAATATTTAGCCTTTTTGCAATATTTACCTTGTGACTGCACTGAAGAGCCCTTGTATTCTAGCTTTGTGGCGAGCAACAAAAGCCGGGGTAAATATGACACCTCTGTTGTACTGGTCCATTTCTCCTTGGATAATCTTCCCAAGACGCTTCGACAACTCCTAAAATATGGATCAGAAACCCACGGGTTTTTTTTTTTACTAACAAAGAAACAACGTGTCAAAACAAGCTGAGACCACAAAGAAGACTAAACCATTTAAAAACACAGACGGCACAACACATTGCTTAATTTAATGACCAGATTTCCTATTGGATTAAAAGGCACGTAAAAACTGGCTCACCTCAGTTAAGAAATCTCCTGGGAGGTCATAGCTTTTACACAGCTCTGCAATACTGATCATACCAGCCTCCTGCAGTTTGTCATTCACCTCCTCGGCCAAATGGTCCAGGTATGTGCTGCAGATGACAAAACATGAGCAGTATAATCACAACACCTCACTCTCATTTAACCTGTTCAGACTTGACCCTTATATACTATACTTTTGTAAATACTTCTGTACAGAAATGAGACTTAACTAAACCTTTAATGTGAAAAAAATATATTTAATTTATTAAATAAGACTTTGAATAGAATATAAAATTTAATAAGATAAAAATTTTACCCTCTTTGAAGTCATATAAGGAGTTTCCCTTCAAATCTGATTGATTTGCTTTTATGTAGAAATGAACTAAGAATGAAATTTGGTGACAGGCAATATTTCATTATTTATGGGCCCTATGTTCCTACAGGGATACAAATGAATCCGAATTATAAAAATAACTGAACTGTTTTAAAGTCTTTTGGTTCTTAATCAAATTAATTGTGAACCTTTAGCTAGCACAAAACTGATGTGCACAAGTAAACACAGGTCAGCATCAACTTATTTGCAGACAGCCCAATAACAGTTAAAGCTTCCTTTATTGCCTCCTTCAGCAGAAGACAAACTGGAGCATTCTTTATGAAAGGAAAGGACATAATGCCATCCCACAATTCACAGCGAAGCACCATCTGGGCAATCACGAAAACAATCAACATAATAGACGAATGTGACACAGATTGTGTCAATATTAATTATACGTTTGTTTTCCGTGCCATACCCTGCTGATGTGTTTTGAACCTTCAGCAACAGCCTAAGTTAAACCCACAGTCAAATTATGAACATTAATTTGTTATAGAAAAACTGGCTCTCTAAAGCTCACTAAGGCTCTCTAAATCAAGATCATCCTACACTGAAATGACAAAAGTCTAAAGTTTATCAAAATAAAGTTTGCATTGTTTATGTCTGTAGCTGCACTGTTGGCCTTTAGAATTATCATTAATTTTACCTCAAAAGCTTCAGTTTTGTAAAAAGAGTTAACAAGTGCAATAGGCTAATGAGATGGAGCTTAACTATTATAATTAGCTAACTTAAGTGTTATAGCTTTTTCCTCTGGATCCTATAGACCTAAATATCTTGTAGCATATATCGAGAAACACTGGGCATGTGTGAAATGAGTGCATAGAGTCTAAAGTGTTGGCTGATAACTTAGTATTTTGCTCTTTCATGCAAATATGTAACTTGGCTCACAAAACCCATTATAGTGCTGTCCATAGTGTGACTTTATGGTAGCCATTTTTATACAGTATAGACCTAATACTCACTCATCAATCAGCTGTCCCAGTACAAGCTGAACCCCTTTATCAGACTTTGCAATTTCATTTGCTCTGTTTTCAACATGGACCCAGTCCACATTGATAATCTGAAAGGAACAACATCATGAAAACATTCATAAAACATCTGACCCAAATTTGAATGAACAAACTGTATATCTCATCTAGAGGACGCAGGACGAAACACACCTGCTGGAGGTCCACAATGTTGATTCTCCCTGTAATACAGAATGAAAGCACTTAGTTTCTGTCACAATCTACAATTCTGAAAATGTCACAGGGACAATGTGACAATGCTGCATCTCATTTCTTAAACTTCTGTATCACACCTCCGTGCACGTAGAGTTCATCTCGGATCTCCCTGCTGATCTGAGCTGGGGTGACATACTCTTTACCATCCAGTGTGTGCACCACATCCAGCTTCTTGTCTTGGACTAGTTTTGCAATTATTTCAATGCAATTTCTTTCCGACAGCCTGCGGAAAAGTTTACACAAGTGCCGTAAAGGACAGTGTAGTATACGTTTATTATTGTGTTTGTTTTAGTCACAACAGTTGTTACAAGAGAAGCCACAATCTTCATCTAATAGCGTTACTTTTAAATCAACTTTAATGACAGCTGGGATTAGCTTTGATGCTATCACCCGTTCAGTTGCGTTTACCTTTGCACTGTGTCAGCAAACTGCGCTCTCTGGAAGTCTGCGGCAAGCCGGCGAATCTCTTCCCAGTCATCCGCCATTACTGTGAGTTTTTGAGTTCGCAAAACCAGCCTGTAAAACAGCTACTTTCAGTGTTCAGTGTCTGCTAGCTGTTTGTTAGCTAACGGAACAGCTCAGACACACGTCAACATACAATAACGCGCTACAGCGAGCCAGAAGGGACAAAGCTTCTCCTCCGACTTTTCGCCCACAAGTCACGTAGAGCAAGAACAAGCAGAGCGTCTGCTTTATGTTGAGAGAAAACCGTCGATATGATTCAAACTAAGATTTAGAAATGTGTACAATAATTTGTGTCTAATTATACAGACAATTTTTTTCCAATTCACACACAAATACAAATAAATTAGAACATACAAAGACTTATAAAAGCATTTTATAAAAGCTATACTTCAAAATAACAACAACAACAGCAACAAAAAAAACCCCGTGATCGTTTAACAGACATTTTTATATTTAAAGTCAACAGAATGATATTTTTCACTTTCAAAGAGCTTACGCCCACATAGAGCTTCCTGTGCGTATAAATGTTTAAAGATATTTGTGACATTTTTACAGATCCTGGAGAATCTCCCAGAAATCACGGGTTGTGTGCACTGGCCCTATCGGGACCTCCCGCATAGTCCAGAACTACCTCCTACAGAAGGTTGTATTAGATTTTTAAGTTGTAATACATCAACATGTATAGAGTCACCCCTCCCACCCCGAAAACCCCAACCCACCCAACAGCATCGTATTCTCAGCACATATGTATATCAGTTACACCATAGTTCTCTGTACAAACAATCCCGTTATAAATTGTAAAAAGTGTGTCCAGATCCGGTAGAAGTCTTTTCTTTAGCTAAGAACGTCAACTTTCTCATTGCAAGCCTGTCATTCCTTTAAACCATTAATTAGGGGTGGGTCCATGTATGTCCTTCCATCTTAAATAAATTTGGCTTTCATTTCTTTCCATGTAGTTGGAACTGTCCAGAGAGAATGTGGAAAATGCACAATTTTGCGTCAACTGGGATAACATGTTCTATTAACCTGGAAATTAAGTCAAGAATTCCTTTCCATAAGGGTTGCAATACTTTATAGTCCCACATACAATGAAATAAGGTTTCCTTCTATTTACTACACTTAATACAGTCATTGCGAATACTGGGATTAAAACAGCCATTTGTACTTTAAAATCCTGAACCTTGTGTTAATGGTTTGGGTTTGAGCCACAAGACAGGTCTATCTCCAATCTTCTACAGGAAGGTCATTTTTCCATGCAGTCAAATAAGAAAGGCTTTCCTTAGAAACGAATACGAATGATATTATCACCCCATTGCCTGAGGAGTCTCGGGGACTGCTCCCTTACACTCCTCCTTTATTAACTGGAATACTTGCTGATTAATACGACTCTATTCTACTCATTTGTTTTTTATGTCGTGTTCTTCAGGAAAAATCTGGATTTTGTTTTTAACTGAAACATGGCAGCTAATTATGGAATGCTTTCCCTTTATTAAACTTTGCCCCGTACGTAGACAGTGCCTTTCTGATCTCACCGTGACCTTTAGATGTGGAGATGAGCTGGCTGTACTTCCAGCTGGTACTTTCAGCTAGTGAATACTACTTTTAACTCCTTTGAGATACATATCATGAAGACTGGTGAGATTAATCTATTTTCTAGACCACTGGGATGAGCCTGAAGTTTCTTAGCAAACTTCTGTAACTTATTATAACCACCATTAGGTTGGAAATAATCTTTCTGCCTTCTACAACTAGAACATATTTCCCGAGTTTCTTTCTTATCCACTGTAAAAACTAAGGTGTGGAATCTTAGGCTAAATTTTGGTCATTCTTTGGACTTGATGCTCACATTAATTCTATGGCCTTAGATTTCGGTTTAAAAGCTTGGTTTTTACTTTTATGGCCTTAGGCGATAAGGTGACTTATATTACATATTCCACCCCTGTTCTCCAAACTTGATTCTTAGGTCCGCAGATGGAAGTTTTCTTGTGATGCCATGAACTGATTTGAAAGCAAAGGGTGTTATGGCCCTGTCCATAATCTGTTTTGGTGGCTGTTGTTGTCTGTGCCTTTAAGTCTTTGCAGGTCCCGAAGTGGATGAGCTGATGGCTGCTGATTGGTCCCCTGGCCATGTGATCTTCTTCAAATCCCTCACCAGCAGTTGTCCTGGGGCAGCCACTGACAGCAGCAGCAGACCTGACCCTGGCCTCCAAAACCTGAGACTTTTGTGCCTGTGATTTTTGCGGCCTTTCTGAGTTTTGTATATAGTGTGTACATTAGTTTTCATTGTAAATAGCACATTGTAAATAGCACTGCAACAGAAGGGGTGAGCTGCCGTATTGTTTTTCCTTGCACTGTTTTCTCCTGTTTATTTCAGTTAGGGAGTTAGGTGTAGCGCTTGTCTTTTGTTTGATGTTTGATTTCACATAGGGTTCTAGATAGCACCTCCTCCTGACTTAGCTTGTTTTGTTTGTTATTTTGGCCTTTGTTCACCCTGGAGCTTCATTTTTGCAGTGTAGAGAATAAATCACAATTCACTAAGAAATTGGTTTTCCCTCTGTGTATGGTTTTGGGGACCAGGGCGGAGCAGTCTTTTCAAACTTATGTTGCGTTCCTGTACCCCTAGACTGGGGCGTAACAAAGGGGAATTCTGCATTCCAAACCTTCAGTCCAAAATGCTGGAACAGATAACCACCCTCTATTAACACTTAAAAAAAACAGCTTAAAATTCATCAGCTTTGATACATGTTTGGGCAGCATTTTGTGTTTCCTGTTGTCTTACCTAGTTCATGTGTGTTCATTTGATTTTTATTGTAAATCAATTTGTGGTTTTTTTTCTTGAAAAGAGATTAATTTGAATTATAGAAGTATCCAGATGTTTAGAAACCTCTCTAATAGGTATTAGGTGTTAAGTTCAGGAAGTGTTGTTGGTGTGTGTGTTTTCCTTTTTCTGTGACCATTAGAAGCCACACACACACACACACACACACACACACACACACACACACACACACACACACACACACACACACACACACACAGGAGCACTTGGGATATGTATATTTTCAAGACTTTGGTTTCTACAACTTTCATCAGATGGATCACAGCAGCTGCTGCATACGTTATACAATCTGTGCACCACAGAAATGAGATCATGTCATTAATAATAAACACATGAAAACACACACATCCTGCCTCATCAGAGGCCTGTACTATGAGGGAGGATTTATTTCTTATCTGGATAACTTCAGGGTCAACCGTGGGTTTTCTGTACTACAAACATGGTTTACTTCTCACTGGAGTATGTTGCCGTGGTAACTTGCACAGTCAATATAACCTGCTCAGGTCAGATTCCAGATTAGTGATGAACAGGTGTGAAATCAACACATACTGAACAATCAGTTCTCTGGAAAGCAATGCCTTTTTTGATATAGAGTATTTGTATTTCTATGACATGCATTTGCAACAAATAAGGATTCTTAGACACAAATTTAGTCTTTAATTATTTTCCTGGTGGCTGTTTTTAACAGTTTTACAGCTATTTTATTTTTCAGTAAGCATTAATATAGCACATGAAAGTAGGGCACCTATTTGCTCTGTATGTCAAATTTGCACGTGGACTAACCCTACTTTTGAATTTTGTATTTAGATTTATTCTTTAGTTGTTCTCAGACCCTTAAACCCCACCGAGGCCACAGCTGAAAGAATAAAGACTAAAACTGTCTTTTAAACATTAATTTAAAAGACAAAATCTGATAGAGTGGAGTAGATTATAGTGTCCATCAGATTCTTGTGTCTTAGTGATAGAGCTGTAATACTGATAAATCTGTTAACTTACACACACTTTGGAATTTCATCAGAAAGTAGATATATCTGTGCAAATGCTGCTCATCTCATCCAACCACACTTTTCTCTGCCCCCTCACTTCTGTTCTGCTGGGCTTTGTTGTTGTGCAGTTATGAACTCAGCTGCACTGAGCAGATGCACGTAGGTTGCTGTAAAGAGGGACATCATGTGGAGGTATTATATGGCTGTAAATTAAAAACCTCACAAACAGCAAGGTGTCTTGGAAGAAAATTCTCTACTTTGGCAACAAATTATATAAACACTCGAAAAAACAGGAAACGAGAACTTTTCTCATGGAACAAGAAGCTAAAAAAAACTGAGCGAGTAGGAGGGAAATCCTTCAGACAGACCCAGGCCCAGTCCTTCCAGAGAGGCAAGGGCAAATATATGAGGCTATTATTGTAGCAAAACCATTAGTGTGTGTATCCCAAGCTGCACTTTGGTTTTTTAATCTGTTTGGAGTTTCCTGTGTGCATATTGAAATTTATGTGTGCATCTTCAGATCCGTGTTTGTTTAATCTGGTTTGGTAATCTCTACATAGATTTGCAAAAGAGTACAAGAATGTGCAAATGTGTATTCCGAATGTGTGTGTAAGATTTCTAAATGTATAAATAAATGTAAGTGTGCATTCATATTAATTTATGGAACGTCTTAAAGTTTACCCAAAGCCCTGCTTGTTATTCCCATACAGACTATGTCAGCAAAATGTGATTTAAACATAAAAACCCCCACAAAAAAGTCTTATGTCCTGTTAGTAAATTATGTAATAATTGATTACCATATAAAAGCTAGGAAATGTTATTATTTCTCAATTATTGGGGAAAATAACAACCCAGGGTTTCTCTTCAGCACTACAGCTAGGCTGACAAAGAATCAAAGCTCTGCTGAGTCGAATATTCCTTCAACGTTAACTAGTAATGACTCCATGAATTTCTTTATAAATAAAATAACATTACAATTAAAAAAATAATTACTCATAACAATCTCACAGATATATAATTATGTACAGTTACTTTCAGTATGATTGATATTTAGAGACTTTCTATCCTATTGATCCATCCATCTTATTCAATACCTCATTCCAAGACTGCCCAAAGAAGTCCTACCATTAATAGATACTTCAATCATGAATATGATTAATCTCTATTAATGGGCTGTGTACCACAGGCAGAGGTGGCAAAAGTACACACATTCTGTACTTAAGTAGAAGTAGAGATGCAGAGATACTAGTGTAAAAACAAAAATCCAGTAAAGGTTGAAGTTGTCACGTCTGCCGAGGCGAGCAGTGTGGTGTTGGAGGGAGAAAGGACCCAAAATGCAGGCGGTGGATGATAATGCTAGTGATGTTTATTTACAAAGTGGCG